GCCCCCAACTCAAAGTGCTATACAAAATAAAACTGAACCATTTTAGTGAATAGAACAGTAGCCACAAATTTGAAAATGAATAAAAATACTGAAAAAAATAAATTATCAACAAAACACAGATAAAATCAGTAGAACATTCTGAAGGAGCGTCTCCACCCCCATCGTTCTGCCCGGACACTGAGGTCCAGCGCCGAGGGCCTTCTGGTAGTTCCATCGCTGTGAGAAGCCAAGTTACAGTGAACCAGGCAGAGGGCCTTCTTGGTAGTGGCGCCCACCCTGTGGAACGCCCTTCCACCAGAAGTCAAAGAGAACAACAACTACCAGACTTATAGAAGACATCTGAAGGCAGCCCTGTTTAGGGAAGCTTTTAATGCTTAATAGGTTATTGTATTTTAATATTCTGTTGGAAGCCACCCAGAGTGGCTGGAGAAACCCAGCCAGATGGGCGGGGAATAAATAAAATAATAGTAATAGTAATAGTAGTAGTAGTAATAATAATAATAATAATAATAATAATAATAATAATAGACTGCACTTCAGTAATCCAGTCTTGAAGTTACCAATGTCTGAATTACTGTGGTTAACCTTTCCTGGTTCAGGAATGAATACAGCTGCGGTACCAACTGAAGCTAGTAAACCAGCCTCACTGATATCTCTTGGGCCTCCGTTACAAAGCTGGATCCAGGAGCAAACCCAGGATGTCTGCCTACTCCTTCATAGTGAGTACAATTCCCTTCAGGGCAGGCTGTTGGCCAAGTTCTCAGATGCAAGAACCAATCACCCACAGAGTCTCTGTCTTGCCAGGATTTACAAGTAGCTTAATATGGCAGGTAGAAGTCCTTGTAAATATTGTTCCTGATATAGGAGGTAGTAAGGAAGAGAGTAATTAAGTCTAGATAGTGTGTTAGAGCAGAAGCCAAAGTTGAGAAAAAACTTAGTAATTGCACACTCAGTGTTCAACAGGACTCTGAAGCACAAAGATTATTCTGATAGTTATTTTTACACCTATAAAAAAAGCTGGAATAATAGATTTGGAGACTTATTTGTAAGCATGCTGATTTTGGGAACAAGTGGCAAAAAGCAAATAGCACCATCATGCCACCATCTTCCATTGGCCTACCTCTCTGGAGCTGTTTTCATGAGACACAAACCAAACTGATAATAATTGGAGGTACCAGGGAGAGTCTGCTTGTTTAATGTTTGCAGTCCATATTTGCAGAGAACCCTTTGGACATCAAGGAGATGCAACCAGATAGGTGGAGGGCAGAAAGCAGCCCAGGATTTGACCCAGGACATCGAAGTGGAAGAAATGGGGTTAAAGGTCAAAATGAACCACAAGGAGGGGCACAGACTAGAAAGGTAAAAGTGGGGTGGGATAGGGAAGACACTGACAGGAAAAGAAGGGTGAAGGGGTGCAGAATGGAATGAGCTGTGAGCTGCATGACTGTAAGTGGTATGCTTAGGGCTGGAGTGGCAAAAATTGAGGCTTCTCTTCCAGTACAGGGACGCGGATGGCGCTGTGGGTTAAACCACAGAGCCTAGGACTTGCCGATCAGAAGGTCAGCGGTTCAAATCCCCGCAACGGGGTGAGCTCCCATTGCTTGGTCCCTGCTCCTGCCAACCTAGCAGTTCAAAAGCATGTCAAAGTGCAAGTAGATAAATAGATACCGCTCCAGCAGGAAGGTAAATGGCGTTTCCGTGCACTGCTCTGGTTTGCCAGAAGCGGCTTAGTCATGCTGGCCACATGACCCGGAAGCTGTACGCTGGCTCCCTCGGCCAATAAAGCGAGATGAGCGCCGCAACCCCAGAGGCGGCCACAAGTGGACCTAATGGTCAGGGGTCCCTTTACCTTTACCTTCCAGTACAAGTAGCAGCTGGGGGTATTTTCTGTGAACCATGAAAGGGTTAAACTCTCCCTGTCCACTCCCTGTGGTTGCAATGCTACCTCAAGTTCCCCGTGACTGCTGTTTACATACTAATATTTTAAAGTGCATGTTAACTACATTCATACAATTAACTTTGTGTCTAGTTTGGCCCTCAAAGTCGATTCGCATGACCACCAAGCTCAAGGTGGTCTCCTTAAATCACTGCAACCAGCAGCTGCCGCCACATGAAATGTGGGAAGGCTTTTCAATATCACTGCAAAAAAGGGGCAGATGTGTAATGACCTGCAACATGTTTTCTCCTGCACATGGTCACAGGGAGGAAGCTGGCAGCAATTTCAAAAATCCTAATGGGTGCATGAGTTGTCCTCAGCTGCTGCTTAATATGCCAATCAGCAAAAATCCATAAATGACTTCCCATTATATTTTGTTTGATTTGTTTAAAAGTGCTAAATTGCAGTCATTTCCTAGTCACAAAGCCACTGCACTAGAGTGCTCCAATTTCCTCTATCCATGGTTCCCTCCTTTGCTAAAGCATAAACACACAGGCACCTCCACAAAAGCAAGTGAATAGGAAAAATTACACTCACTCCACTCTGTCTCTCATATACAGGACTTAACTCAAACCCTTTCAAACATTTTTTAAAAGACCTAAAGCTTACTGAGACTTGGGAAGGAAAAATCTGCCAAACAGACGTTCGCATATGGAATCCAGTTATGCTTTTCTTTAGTTCAAATCACTTCCTACTTATCGTTCAACACAACATGTATTTTGTGAGATTTAAGGATGCCGTCTAGCAGTATGCAGCTACAGTTTATTTTTTTCATTTCCAAATGTCTTGAAGTTTGTACAGTACACTTATGCACACCGAACCTAAGAGAGAGTTATTTAAAGAATTTTTCCTACTGAGAAGCTTCTTGCTTTTTTTCTTTTTGAGGTTTATCTTTTCAGTAGCCTTTGGAAAACTGAGACTCTTCTTGCTGTTCTGTCCTCCACTGAAATGTGTCCAGATGGAGTCTGTTTACTTTGTAGTTAATGAGAATGGAAGGAAATGTAGTGATGAAATATTAAAAACCCTTCCTTACTTCTAGCATTGCCTGCTTTAATCTTGTGCAAAGCTTCCTTCAACAAACTCTGTGAAACCTTCAAAGCCAAACAGCATCACTCTCTAAACCTTTCTTTAAAAAGCGAGAAAGGCTGTAGTTTTGGGGGGTTTCAAATAGTTTCAATAGGCAGGAACGGGGAGCTCCAAACTTTTTGCATGGAAAAATATTAAAACCTTAAATATAAGAACCCATTCACCAATTTCCAAAGACTGACAATTGCAACAACCATAATATTAATAAGCTGATAGTGACTTGGTGCCACCACAGTAAGTTTCAACTTGATCCTCTTGATTTAAGTTACTGGTTCAAATTAAATGATCAATAACAACTTGCATCATGAAGACAACTTCTTGGAGTACCAAAAATACAGGTCGAGTTCCACTTCACACGTGCATATTCACACACTCAAGTACAAAGTGGTGATATACATCACCACATATGGAACTTTTTCGTATCACCCAGTTTCAAGTTAAGGAATACTTTCCCAGGAAAACAGTTCACATATTTGGCTTTGAGTTATCAAGAATAGCGAGCAGGTGGGTGATGAACATGAATTTGTGTATCTGCCTTGGGATGAGACAATGTCAGGAGTCCTTAAACTCATCTGGGAAGAGCTTTCCCATCCTGAAAAAGTCAAATTTGCCCTCCTACTGGTATTTCACTGCACAGGCGCCCAATGTATAAATGGTATGCAAATTTCAATGAATTTGTTCAAAAAGTGTGAAGAATAATAATAATTTTATGATTTATACCCCACCCATCTGGCTGGGTTTCCAGGACTATGTTCTGTTTCAAGTCAAAATAGATTACACATTAGAAACTGGGGGCTTAGGGGCTCTTCTTTTTCCTGCCACACACATTTAAATACAACGTATAGGGATAAAGATTTGTGGTATACTTGGTGCAGTGGTAGTTAATGGATAAGTTGTAACTTATTTAGCTACTTTCCACATGGAAATTTCTCTTCCTTTGCAGTATGTATGAGCCTAAGTGGGCTTTACAAGACGAGATTCTTTGCAATGAGACATTTCTACACATGAGTGCCCACAGCACTGGGCAATTAATGCAGAATTCTAAAAGGGGCCAACTACATCTTTGAAGCGATGAAATAAAGAAAATATTTTCAATTACCTAGCAACACCCTAACCTCCATATCCCAGCAACTAAAGCCAGCACTGTCAGGGATCGAGCCGGACTAGATACACAGGGCTTTGGGGGTTCCCAGCAGCATCTGGTTGGAAACTCTTCCAAAGAGAATGCAGAACGGCATGGAAAGCTGCCAGGTTCCCCCTCTTCTTCCATCCTTGCCCCTTGTCCTTTAGGAGGGAGACTAAAATGCACTCTGCACATGTTTAGAGACCGATTTAGCTCCATCTCGCACTGCAGAGCCTTCAAAAAAAAGTTTATAAATCACTTTTGTGAACCCTGGAGTGGCTGGGGAAACCCAGCCAGATGGGCAAGGTATAAATAGAGTCATATAATTGTAGAGTGTTAAAGCTATGGTTTTCCTAGTAGTGATGTATGGAAGTGAGAGCTGGACCATAAAAAGGCTGATCGCTGAAGAATTGATGCTTTTGAATTCTGGTGTTGGAGGAGACTCTTGAGAGTCCCATGGACTGCAAGAAGATCAAACCTATCCATTCTGAAGGAAATCAGCCCTGAGTGCTCACTGGAAGGACAGATCCTGAAGCTGAGGCTCCAATACTTTGGCCACCTCATGAGAAGAGAAGACTCCCTGGAAAAGACCCTGATGTTGGGAAAGATGGAGGGCACAAGGAGAAGGGGACGACAGAGGACAAGATGGTTGGACAGTTTTCTCGAAGCTACCAGCATGAGTTTGACCAAACTGTGGGAGGCAGTGGAAGACAGGAGTGCCTGGCGTGCTCTTGGTCCATGGGGTCACGAAGAGTCGGACACAACTAAACGACTAAACAACAACAACAATTGTAGAGTTGGAAGGGGCTCTAAGCATCATCTAGTCCGACCCCCTGCAAAGAAGGAAAACGCAGCTGCCCCATAAGGGGATCAAAACTGCAACCTTGGCGGGATCAGCACCATGCTCTAACCAACTGAGCTCTCCAGGCAAGTCTTAATAATAAAATTATTATTATTATTATTATTATTAAGCGTTAAGCCTCCACCTCCAGCTTCTCACCACCGGGGAAGGAAGAGCCTGGGGGACTTACTGTAGAAGATGTACTCGGTGTAGCTGCTCCAGATCTTGTCCTCTCGGTACTGGTTGATGAAGGCGGCGGTGCCGGTGGAGTTGCAAGCCACCATGTGGAAGCCGGCTTCGGAGAGGCGGTCGAAGGCCTGCTCCAGGTAGGTGAACTTCAGGTAGAAGCGCGACGTGTACTTCTCGGGCGGGCGGTCCGGGTCTCGGCTCTCGTTGAGCGTCTCGCCGAAGATCTCCTTGGCCAGGGCGATGCGGCCGCACACCATGATGCGCGCCACGCGGCGGAACTTGGCGTCGGCCTGGTTCTCGCGCACCGTGGTGTACGAGCCGCGGTAGCCGACGGTGATGAAGCCGGCGCGCTTCTCCCCGGCGCTGCGCTGCTGCTGCTGCTGCTGCTGCTGCTGCGCCACCAGGAGCTCGCCGCTGCCGGGCGAGTTGGCGTCCTCCAGGTCGCTCTGGCAGCCCTCGTCGTTGAGCGAGCTCTGCTTGGCCACCTTGGGCGACAGCAGCTTGACCAGCTCGGCCAGCTGGAAGTACTCGGCTTCGCGGAGCAGCCGCTCCTTCTCCGGGAAGTGCTCGGGCAGCGCCAGCTGCTTGTCGCGCAGGTAATCCAGCACGTACCTGAAGAGGAAGCCGTCGCGGTCGATGAAGAAGCGCGCGCGGCTGTCCCGGGGCAGCTCCCGCGGGGCGCTCCGCCGCGGCGAGAACATGCGCGCCAAGGTGCTGTCCGGCACGCTCAGCAGCGTCGCGTGCTTGGTCACGTACACCTGCCCGCCCACGTTCAGCTCCACCACCTCAGGGAAGGCGCCCACCGACCCCGGCGCCGACGGAGAGGAGCACGACGACACCATGTCGCTGATGGGCAGGATGGTGGCGCCGCCGCCGCCGCCGCTCACTCCTCCGCCGCCGTCCTTGAGGGCCATGGCTGAGGCGCTTTACCTCAGCGAGCCGCGCGCAGAGCGGGAAGGGACGGCGGCGCCCGCCGCTCCGCGAGTGCCTCCGGACGCCGCGCGCGCAGCAGCCGCGGAAGGCGGGCGGGCTCGCCCAACCCACTCGCCTTCCTCCGTGGCCACGTGCGCGCTCGTCTCCCCCTTCCCGCGCCCGAGCGGCCGGGCTGCTTTCTCCTCAGTTGGCCAAGAGGCCACTCCGTGGCACAACCCCGATTGCGCGCGCGCGCGGGCCTCCCCCCTTCTCTCTATGCGCCTCAGGCGATTCCCTCTCACGAAAGGGGCTTCTCGGGCGCTCGTCCGCTTCTCCCGCCTTTTTGCTCTTCACAGGGTGTTTTCCCCCCAGCCGCGGGACGCCTTTCTTGGAGAAGCTGCTTCTTCCTTTCTGAGAGAAGCGGGTTCCTTCGTTTGCTCCCCACAAGACAAGTCCCGTTTCATTCAGCGCTGAAGGAGTGGTGGAGGAAGGAGACCCCTTTATCCCCCCACTTCCCACTTAGAGGGCTCGAATCTTCTCTTGAGGAGAATCTTCTCCTCAGGAGGGAGCGCCTCACTCCTGGACATCCCGCGCCCCGCTCTCCCCTCTTGCCGGCGCCTCGGCTCCGTCTGAGGAGGAGCAGGAGGAGGACTCCTCCCGCTCCTCTGCCGTCAGCTAAATGCACCACTCCGCGGGTTCTGGCGCAGCGGCGTGCCACCAGCGGCGCCTTCCGGACCGAGCAGCAGCGCGGGGCGGCGGGAGGGGGGAGAGAGCGCAGCGCGGGAAGCAGCTTCTGGTGAGGCAACAGCGTCGTCCGCTCTCTCTCGCTCGCTCTCTGCCTCACCAACTCCCAACCCGCCGCGACGGCAACTCGAGAAAGGCCCGCTGACGTCAAGCCCAGCCTGCAAAAAACACACGCGAAAGAAGCTGCCGGGACGTTGCGAACGGAACAGCTGTCGTGTTTCTTGGGAAGCGCGGACCGGCGGGAGGACTGGGCAGGCGCGGCTCGTTGCTGGGATGAGGGAGCGGGGCGCTGGGAAGGGGAGAGAGGTGGCTTTGGGGTCTTGTTTAGGGTCCCACCTCTCGGTTTATGAGTGAGAGGATATTGGAGAGGTGAAGTAGAAACACATTGCGGAGCTGCTCCTCCAGATCAGGGGCCGGGCCCAGGAGGGTTCGCCTGCAACCCGAATCTAATCAGGTTTACACGGAAATATAAGGTCCGCTGAGCCCCATGATAGTAAGAATGCAAGGTTTAGGACGGCAACCTCTTACTGCGCATGCGCGCGCTCCCCTGAGTGTTTTGACTCTGTCCATGGTTGGGACCAGGGTTTAGCCAATAGCAGCTGGGGACATAGCTGTCAACTTACAGATTTGAAAATAAGGGACCAGCAGCCTCGAAAATGGTGTAGTGGTTAAGAGCGGTAGTCTCCTAATCTGGGGAACTGGGTTCGCTTCCCCTCTCCTCCACATGCAGCTGCTGGGTGACCTTGGGCCAGTCACACTTTTCTGAAGTCTCTCAGCCCCACTCACCTCACAGAGTGTTTGTTGTGGGGGAGGAAGGGAAAGGAGAATGTTGGCTGCTTTGAGACTCCTGAAGGGGAGTGAAAGGCAGGATATCAAATCCAAATCCAAATAAGGGATCAGCAGCCAAAATAAGGGATTTTGCTTAGCTTAGACAGAAATCCGGCACTGATGAAGCCATGCTGCTTTTGCTGCGACTGACTGTGTTTTGCAGGGGGTTGGACTAGATGACCCTAAGGGTCTACAACTCCCACCAAAGAAGAGTGGCAGACAACTGATGAACAACCTCCAGATGGCAAAGCTTACAGGAAGAATTAGAAACCAGGAAGAGGACCTCTTTAATAAAGAATGGGGAAAGTTTCTAATTTATTTGAAAAGCTATTGGTAGCATTGACAGAAAACTTGTAGTAAAAATTTGAACTATGGATGGACAAATGATTTATAAAAATAGAGTTATGAAAGGGATGCAGAGGGGGAAATCACTACATTAAGATGCTGCACTGGTTGGAGGGTATGCTAAGCAGCACGTCGGGGCTGCCGTCGTCCTGGCGCGAGGAGTTCCATCGGCCCTTCCCTGCCCGAGAGGGAGGGAGGGAGAGAGACTCTTGCCCATGCTGCCCGTGAGCCCGGCATGAGGCAGTTTCGGCGCTGTGGCGGCCCTGAAGTGCTGCCCTTCTGCGTCCCTCCCGAGCCGGGCGAGCATGAAACCCGGGAAATTTAAGGGACATTATCAATAAGAGACAGCAGCGGGACACGGCACTGGGATAAGGGAGTTTCCCACCAAATAAGGGACAGTTGACAGCTATGGCTGGGGAAAATGTTTCAGGGTGTGAAAGTGGCCGGCGAGGGAAGGGTTAAATGCACCGCTTCGGATGCAACTGGTATGCAGTATTTAGAGCACTTTGCAAGGAAGAAGTAGTATTAAACTAAGGTTTCCGATGCAGAGCTGGGGCATCAAGTGTTATTTAACCCTTCAATGGATCTGTTGGGTGCAATTCTGTGCAGGTGCTTGCCCCCCTCCTCAATAGTCATGCAGTGTTGGCATTTGCTAGTTCTGGGGAGGGGGAATCCCATTCAGTTATTGGCAGGAAATTTGAACTGATATTGAAACATTAATACCTCCCTTCAGCCACAATAGAATTTTGCCAGTGTCTAGGAGTTGACAATGACGACGACGTCATGGAAGGACATCGGAGGAGCGTTGTGCAGAGTACAAATGCATCTTTGAGAAAGTGATACATATTACCATATTAGATTCTCAGCAGATATATAGCCCTGCAAGTACAGGCCTCATACTTGCAGACACTGGAACAGTTTCTGTCCATGGAATAAAAAGTTGCCTTCCGTTTGGTTATGTTAATGAACGAATCAGTATATAAATCTTAATGGCCAGAACTAGCTGATGCATGAGAACCAAGTGACTGAAGATGGATGCACTGCCTTCTGGAAGTTCATTGATAGAGTTGGGCACAGTTGCAACACAAAACCAATAAGGATGCAGAGGTAACTAGGTTTTATTTCTGTGGCAATTAAAGTATAGGCTAAATCTTGTATAATAACATTACACTGATTTTTGCATATTTCCCCCACACTGGAAAATAGAGGCAGGGAGGTGCTGGAGGAATGAAGTCAGACTTTCATTTGATTATGTTGCAATTATATACATTGGAAGTTTTACTGGTATTTTTCAGTGTTCAAGGGAAAGTTCTGTTTTAAAACGTTTTACAGTTTTCCTGACCCAATGGCATGATTGCCATGATATCCAAACTTGAAGTGAAAACTTTTATACTGACTTCACTGCAACTTTAATTCTGATAGCTCATTCATCAATGCAGATATCACACTGAGGTATCTTCTGCATTTTCCTTCTCCTTCTTTTAAATATAGGTGTGGAGTTCAAGCTGAAGACGGAACTGGAAACCAAAAAAATGTAAAAGTGTATATCAAATTTCATTGCAATATATCAATACTCAAGGGAGATATTGCGTTGCTGGGTGCTTTTACAACCCTTTGAGGTGGTGTAGAACCATTGCTTTTAGAACTTTAAGTTCCAGTTTATCTTGATTTATCTTGAGTTTGCACATAGTAGAACTTGTATCTTCAGTAGCTTCCAAGTATCAACATATCCCCATTCAAAACCTTTTCTTTCCTCAAAAATGTATTATTCAGGTTGTATATTTCTCCACAGGGGGCTATACTTGCAGAATCTATTATCATATTTTCCACAAAGCTGCATTCTATAGCTCTCCCGGCCATTTATCTGCCTTGGCTCTGGGTGCCCTGCATTTATAGCTGCATTCTAAAACAGAAACAATTTACTCTTTTCTGTACTGTCCACACTCCATGCAACAATGGAGCACAAATTATTCCCATTCACTTATGTGCAAGATAAGGTATTATACGGCTACTGTTATTGCAAGAGTCAGCTATATTGGTGTAAAGTTTTATAGGTCAAAACCGGCACTTTGAATTGGGCCAGGAAACTAATTGGCAGCCATTGCAGTTGGGCCAGGACTGCTGTAATATGCACAAACCATCTTGCGCTGATGAGCAACCTGGTCACCAAATTCTGCGCTATCCGAAGTTTATGAACTATCTCCAGAGGCAGCCCTACATACAGTGCATTGCAGTAATCTAACCTAGAGGTTTGCCAGAACACAGACAACAGAAGTTAGGCTATCCATTTCCAGATAGGGGCATAACATGGCCAACAGTCAGAGCTGGTGGAAGCCTCAAGCGAGAGCAAAGGATCCAGAAGAATCCCCAAGCTATGCACCCGCTCCTTCAGAGGGAGCGTAACCTCATCAAGAGCAGGCAACCTTCCATCCATCCAGTTTAGGGAACCAGCCACTAACAGTGCCTCATTCTTAACTGGATTGAACTTCAGTTTGTTGACTCTCATCCAGTCCAAGGAGGCTGTGTGTTGTCAGCATATTGCTGACAATGTACCCCAAAACTCCTGAGGAACTCCACATTGAAGGCTCCATGGGGTTGAAAGCATCACTCTATGGAAACGATATAATCCAAGTAGGACCGGAACCACCGCAAAGCAGTGCCACCCACCCACAATTTGGATAGCTGCTCCAGAAGGATACCACGGGTGATGGTATTAAAAGCATCTAAGAGGTCAAAGAGAATTACCGTATTTTTGCTCTATAAGATTCACTTTTTCCCTCCTAAAAAGTAAGGGGAAATGTGGGTGCGTCTTATGGAGCAAATGCAGGCTGCGCAGCTATCACAGAAGCCAGATCAGCAAGAGGGATTGCTGCTTTCACTGTGCTGTGATCCCTCTTGCTGTTCTGGCTTCTGAGGTTAAGAATATTTTTTTTTTCTTGTTTTCCTCCTCCAAAAACTATTGTGATCTGGTGCGTCTTATAGAGCGAAAAATACGGTAACAGGGACACATTTCTCCTCTCTTCTGACAGAGGTCGACGTATAGGGCTACCAAAGCAGTTTCTGTGCCAAAACCTCTACCTCTACACCAATTGAAATGGATTTAGAAAACCCATTTCCTCTTCCTCCCAGAGTGCCTGGATACACCCAGTCAAGACCCTTGCCCAAGAAGGAGAAATAGGCAACTGTCCACCGGGCTGCTTCATAGTGAAATGCTATTGGCAGGAAGACCCCATTATTAAGAATGATACCAATTAGAACTGCCCTTTATAAGATTATGTGTTTATATTTATATGTATACTCTGTTTCTCTCTCTTACACACACACACACACACACACACACACACACACAGAGAGAGATATTTTATAAAAAATGGGTATTATAAACACAATAGGTTTTGTCCAGTACAGTTATGTATGAAAAGGAATCGTAAGCAATGACTACTTCCCCCCCCATAGTAATACTGCAGTGAAGCAATGTAATCAGAATGTAAAACATCTTCATATTGCAAGGTGCTGCATTTAAAAGCAGCAGTCTCCCAAATGCATCATAAGGATAAATTAACGTTAGTGCTGCAATACATGAATAAGGTTAAAGGTGACAAGCTCTACGGAGCAGCTTAATAAGCTAACATATGTAAATGCAGAATTCAGTGGCGTCTTCCTCATAATAATGCAAATCTAACTTTAGCATCCAGTCCATGGTTGCCAGTGAGGAAACTAGCATCAGAAACATGACAGGAAAAGGCAATACAGAGAAATTTGCAAGAGGAGATTTACCCCAGAGTCTTGTGAACATGACACTTGGAATGAGTCAAACTATTGGTCAATTTAGCTCAATAATAACTTATAATAATAACTTAGCACCTCAGGATCTTTAGTCTTTTCCTGAGATTCTTAACTTAGTGGTGGGGAACCTGTCATTATTCAGATGTCATGGACTCCAGCTTCCATAGGTCACAACCAGCATTGCCAGTGGTCAGGAATGCTGGGAGTTGTAGTCTTGCGATATCTAGAAGGTCATGGATTCCTCACTTCCTAATTCAACTGGAGATGTCAGTGTCTAGTGACTTCTGTCTGCATGTATGTGTCCTTCCTTGGGATCAGTGGTCCTCCTGGCATAGGGAGGAGGTGAAAGAAGCTTGCTATATCGCACATTCCAGCTTCAGTCCCTAACATCTTAAGTTGGAGGGAGTCGTTGGCATCCGTCTGTCTCAAGAGGCTACGGAGTGCGGCTCTGGAGGTGGAGTCAAACCGCTGCACATTAAAGTGTCACACCAAATATAACTGATCCATAGAAAGGACTTCATGATCTGAAAATAGAGGTGATGTATGTACTTTTGTAACCCAAGAAAATTGTTAGCAAAAGCAATTAATTAGCAGCACCAAAGTGACCTCCA